TATCCCGGTCACCGAGATCTCGCCTGTCAACAAGCGAGATCTCGGTACACTGGGAAAACTTTTCGTCTCATATGAACGCAGTGGAACTTTTCATATTATTTTCATACCAAGGCGAGATCTCGCTTGTAAACTTGTCGAAATGTTTTCTCGCTAACCGGGATAACTTTTCCCTATATGAACAGGCACTGAAATAGCTGTATACTAGTCTCGATCCTCAGCAAGCAACTCTGTCAATGTTGGACAGCTTAACTTAATCTCGAAAATATGTTGAAAAATATACATCAGTTTATTCAATGTCCGAAATGACTTCAATGTTAAAAATAAGTTGATTAATAAACAAAAATTCAATGACAATGTTCAAATTAACTGAATTAACTTCATTCTTCAATGTTGGAAAAATGTTGAATGGTGGCAAACATGAATATTATAGTGGCGGTAACAGTGACGACATAGAACCGAACAGTCATGTGCTATGAACTAGTTCTTTCCTTAAATTATAATTATTATGTGGCTCAAACACAAAAAGCGGTCAGCATTATGTTGTTGACCTATGCTATGTGTGTGCATGGGTGGAACGTGAAGCACTTAAAAGATTTCTTTCATTCAATGAAGTATCGTTAACTTAAGTGCCGCGGGAAAGACAAAGAAAAATTAATTAGGAAACCTCAAATAGGTTAAAACAATTTCCCCCACCCTTCTTTGTGATAACGACGACGTAAAGTATTTAACTATTCAAAAATTATTCATTTTGATTTATTTCTGTCATCGTAAGTAATTTACTGATACTTCAATGGCTTAGTTATCAATACTTTATCCATCATTAATACATGAAAATCGTCGTTTGGTGATAATTATAAACTGATGATAACTTAACAGTTTGTCATACTATAATGCAGCATGTTTTGGAAATATTTAATGTATTGCATGTGTGTTCACTGTCCAGATTTCGGCAAAAAAATGTTAACAGAATTTCTCCATAATCAATAGTCTAGATTTATGTTCTCTTTAAAGGCCCGTTTACACGGGCGATTTTTGCTTGCGATTTTAGTTGCGATTTTCTCCTTTTGGAGGATGCGAAGGAGTAGATTACTTATAATGTTGTTGTTATGAGATTTCATAACCTGGAACATTTATGACTGATCTACTCCTTCACATACTCCAAAAGGAGAAAATCACAACTGAAATCGCAGCAAAAATCGCCCGTGTAAATGGGCCTTAATAACGCACTTACCATGACACAGGCAATACATTAACAACTGAGAACAATTTACTGAAAATGTTCAAAAGGTTTCTGCTTTGCAAAGACCGTATAAATGTATACATATGGATTATAGTGTCATGAATGACATGCAAAAAACTTGGAATTGTTTACTTCTGAAAAACGACTCTTTTGTGTGCGAGTTCACTCATTTGCATCCGTCAGAAACACAAAATCGCCGACCGAAAATTGCTAGTGTGAACCAAGGCTTAGAGCATGCTTTTACGTTTTCGAAACGAATTTCACCACGGAAAGCTCAATATTGAAGTCCGAAGACTTTTAAAACCAACCAATATGTATGCAAAGCATGCGAAATGTTAATTTTTAATGTGAGACGTGCAAGTAGTGTGACGTTTTTCTTCACACGAAACGTGACCCGAACGCCCCGCCCCCCCTTTACCACCCTCATAAGACAGTATACGATATATGAGAAAACATGCAAGGCTTACAATATATTCATGGATCCATAAAATTAGTGTTACGTCCAAAGCATTGATTGCCCTTCTTCAAATTCGCACTTCTCACTACTCGTGCAGTCTTTTAGAAACTAGCCTTTCCCATGTAAGTCACGTTTCACAAGACAAAAATCGGTCATTTCACGAGAACAAATATTGGCAGTTCACAGCTCACGAAAATACCCTTTACGACGCACAACCACTGAGATTATTCATGAATTCCCAGAATCCCATTGTGTATTTTATCGCAGAGACTGACATCCCCTATACGTCGCTGCCTTCAACTAGCAGCTAGCCCTGTAGGTTGGCCTAGCCTGCGAAAACAGCCGCCACTACTCACTAGAAATCGCCGGCTGTTGTAGAATGATATGCTATTGCATGACGTCTAAATTTTAACCCATCTCTGAAAGCCGAGAAGAAAACGTGCGGTATAAGACTCTTGTGCGGAGAGGAATTCATCCAATTTGACAAAACCAACATGTTTCCTCCAGTAATAAATAATAATAACACTGCATGGATGACTCTAATTATTGAATCTCAACTGAAAATTTCATTTTGTTTCGCCCAGACCCATGTACGGTTAATTTCAGGGAGTTAATTTCATCCCAGTGGAGTTATTTTGAACTCAAATTGGCAATTTTACTCCACAATAGTAAAATAAATTAACCTCCTGAAATTAACAGGGGAAGGGCAGCTGTCATCTTAGAGACCAATCTTGTTTTAGGATGACGTTTTTTTATGTACGTCCAGATTTTATCTCACATCTCTGAAAGATTACAGACAATATAGAAGAGAATGTGTGTGAGAGAGTGCATGTATACCGCTGGACACAAACACCACAGGTTTTGCAGTCTGGATACTTTGATTTCTTCCTATAGTTTTAAACTCTCGACCCTTTCTATAAACCTATATGCTGAGAGCTTTTGAGATTACGAATACTTTTAAGATATAGTGTTATACCTCATAGCTCAGGAACTTGCAATTCACGTGTTATCTTATAGGAATATAGGATGACGCATGTATTCGTTCAGATATTGTATCTTATCTCGGAAATATTATACAGGATTCCTTTTCGTGCCAGTTCCTGTAGAAAGGATGCTATATCATTATGAGAAGACTGCTTCCAATTTGAGTCTACCAATCTTCCAATTTGACGAAATGTTAATTTTTTAATGTGAGACGTGCAAGTGCAACGTTTTTCTTCACGCGAAACATGACCCGACCCCCTTTACCATGCACCCTCATAAGACGGTATATGATATATGAGAAAACATGCCAGGCTTACAATCTATCCATGGATTGCATAAAATTAGTGTTACGTCCAAAGCATTGACATTGCTCTTCTTCAAATTCGCACTTCTCACTACTCGTGTAGTCTTTTAGAAACTGGCCTTTCCCATACAAGTCACATTTCATGAGACAAAAATCGATTATTTCACGAGAAATAAATTAACATCCTGAAATTAACAGGGGCAGGGCAGCTGTCATCTTAAAGACCGATCCTGTTTTAGGATGACGTTTTTTTATGTACGTCCAGATTTTATCTCACATCTCTGAAAGATTACAGACAATATAGAAGAAGAGGATGTGTGTGAGAGAGTGCATGCATACCGCTGGACACAAACACCACAGGTTTTGCAGCTATAACACTATATCTTAAAAGTATTCGTAATTTCAAAAGCTCTCAGCATGTAGGTGTTTATAGAAAGGGTCGAGAGTTTAAAACTACAGGAAGAAATCAAAGTATCCATACTCATAGCTCAGGAACTTGCAATACACGTGTTATCTTATAGGATGACGCATGTATATACGTTAAGATATTTTAACTTACCTTGGAAAATTATACAGGATTCCTTTTCGTGTCAGTTCCTGTAGAAGGGATGCTATGAGAAGACTGCTTCCAATTTGAGTCTATACCAGGGTTTGCTCTTGTCTGAGTAGTATAACGCTGGAACAGATTAGGGATAACCCTTACTGGACTTCTGGCTCAGAATGAGCAATTGGAACAGAACGTCATTATATAGAGCTATCCATGAGAGCTGTCTATTGTAGCCATGAGAGCTGTTTATTGCTACCTTTGAGTTTTGGCGGGACATGCACGAGTTTTTATATATACATGCACGTTATAATGGGTCGTGATATTCACAAATCAATCCTACCAACAAATAGAAGATCACTTAATTACTTAATTTGTTACGTTTTTTACATAATTTTTTCAGTTTCTTTGAAAAAATTACAGCTCCATATATAACTATAACTATTGTATTGAGAAACTTAATTCTTTTCAAAGCGAATTTGAGGGAGTGTGGAAGAGTTGACTTAGACTTAGCTAATACAAAATCTAGTATAGAAGTTAACTGCAAGCCTAGATAGAAACTACATGACTGTAAGTGTGAGATTAAAAATTTGATTTAAATACGTGAATTTCGCATTACTCTGCTATATTAATCCGTTTTAATGAGTAATGACTATAATGACTGTAAAATTGTATTTCGTAGCATGTATAACTGTATGCATCTTTGCATACATAATTGTAAGTGATAAAGTTACTCATTTTATTCGTCAAATTCTTATGATTACATGTCTTTTACGTAAATGGTATCTCGGCATGATAGCTAGCTATAAAAGGTGGGAGTTAAATGCTTAAGTAAACTATTAAAATGTTCAAAATATGTGGCACAATGAAGGCATATAATTAAGCAAACAAATGCATGTACATAATTAATACAAGTTAAACCAATAACCATGGTCTTTTCAATTGACAATTCTCATATTTTACTCCCTTCTATATACACTCTTTTTCAAATAGAATGGAAGTAGAATGATGTGTCATTTCCCCAGAAACTGAAAGACTGCATGAGGCTGCATGTATAACTGCTGGTTTACGTCGTTCAGATTTGATCATGCTTGTCTTGTCGAGATGTGTTTATCTTAATTAAGAAATTCCAATGTCAATGAGGTCATTTTGAGCAGCACGCCTACTGAGATGTTTGGCTTAGATCACCTAGCTTCCGTTTTAAATGCGGGTCATGCGGGTATATAATTCTAATAAACTGAAACGACCGTTAAATACGACCATATCTCAGACGAAGACGCTGGAGGGTATTAGAAACAATTTTTCCTATAACCAGTACTAATGTCTAATCGTGCTCTGTTGACGTAGATACGTTAACAACGTGAAGTTCAATTACGAATCAATAATTAATCTCAACGACTTAAGTCGGATAAGAGAAGCAATTTATACAGGAAGATTTAGTTGCAACTGGCTATATGTACGTTATACCATCATGCAGGCGCTTTCACTGAGCTGCACGAGACCATTGAAATCGAAGACCCGAACGAACGACGATGATGGAGTTACGATGTTCTCAGTAAAATATCTTGGTCAAGGAAAACTTGAAAAGCCTGGTTTGGAAGACATGTGTACATTTGTTCACTCAATATGTGGGAGAGTTAGAAAATCGAAACAAAAAGATATTCTAAAAGGAGATTTTATTCTCTCGAATGAGAACTGCTCTTTAAAGCCCAATGCACAAGATAGCATCGATTCGACACTAGTATTCCGTACTCGACGCATCCTATTTTCTGGAGTGTACGAACTTAATCCAAAGATATTTTTCTTCACTTATCAGTTCGGTAAAACAGCTGATGTGCTTCAATGTCATGTACTCAAGTGTAGAAATAAGAAAGAAGCAAAACGCTTGGCTAAACAAGCTGGGATATTATTTAAAGATATAGCATTTTCATTGAATAGACGATTGAAAGACACACCAAACTATAAACCACAATTGTCATCGCTTGGCTCACGAACAAGCACTATGTCGACCAATTAACGTACGTTTACACATTGTGATTGCAGATTTCTGATGCACAATGACATTGATGTATTTGATAAATACGCGATAACGTGAAGCCAACCCTAAAATTGGCTCGACGAATCACAATGTGTAAACGTACCTGTGTATATTCTGTAATATTGAAGTCGTGGCATAACAGACGATGGCCTTTGACTTTGTTTACTTTTAGTCTCAGTGTATATAAAATATTGTATTCCACAACATCACTGGTGTATATGGACCTATATGCATGGTACCACCAAAAACTTGGATGTGTATATTTTAAGTTTAACTGGTGTATTTTATTTTATTTATATATTTAACAATAACAATAACATATTTAAGTATTTTAGTAGAAGTCTTCTAGACTCAAGTATTTTCTTTGTATGGTGTTCATGGCCGAGTGTACTTAGGTGAATTTCTAATTTTCTTGGTAGTAAACAATTATGTTGCTACACGGACCTTGCCCTTGGCGTACCTTAAATAAGTTAAATAACTATATATATTTCACTTTAAATATAGTTTGTCTATTGAGTATAAATGGCAGATGATTTTAGTTTAGACATTTTATACCGTTGGACATTTTACATTATTTAAATTGAAGAACTTTCTCGTTAATAACGCATTATCGGCCAAATGATGCCAACTGCATGATTATATGAAATATTGCAAGGACGTAACTCTGTAAAATGCCAGGCAAGCTGATATATCGCCTGCAATTTCTGAAAATTCGAATACCTGTCAACGCGTCGTAAACATAACCTAAAGTGTTGTGTAATTTTGGCACCATTCCATCGATGAAGTAACGCCTCAGAAATTACGTATTCATGCCCCATGCAGCCACAATTCACGCAACTTAATGAACTGCTAATATACTATCACTCGTTTACTGAAAGACAACGGTTTCATAAAAAATGAACAGAATTCAGAAAATTAGAAGTACAACGATCAACGATACATTAACAATACATATTGAAAGATTCTGAATCGTGATGTTTAGTGTAGGAAGCTTATCGTCGTTGCCATGCGAGTAAAGCCAAATCTGAGAGGTTTGAAGTACCTGCTATATATAAAGACGTAGAGAAGACTACGCCTATAGAGTTAATAGAGGGTAAAAACGTGATTTATGTTATTTAACTTTAGTACAAAATAATGGGACCTCCGAACAATTTCATTTTCAATTTAACTCGACGTTTCGACTTTCGACTAATATTTAGTCATCAGGTACTAATGAACGTAATTTGTAATTTTATCTTAGCGTTCAATGAAACGAAGGGGGAGCGCAGGCAAAGGCTTGGGTAAGCAAGGCTTGGGTAAGCCTGATCATATGCCTGATGTCCAGCCCGTGCCGCGCGGGTAAGCAAATTTAGCTCTCTAACGCCTGTATTCGAAAAGCTCGCTCACACTCAAAGAGTGGAGGTTCAATCTACATCTTCCCTGGAGTGTCAATGCTGTTTTGAATAGCTGGAGGGGGAGTATAGTCGCATAGTAAGGTAGGCTACATCCGGCTATTCAAAAACAGCATTGACACTCAAGGGAAGCTCAGATTGATCATTCATGAACCTCCACAGTCTCCACTCTTTGAGGGCTATTACTATAACAAGCCCTATTTTAGTATTCCGGGTTTTAGAGATTCCCCATTTTAGTATTCCGGGTTTTAGAGATTCCCCATTTTAGTATTCCGGGTTTTAGAGATTCCCCATTTTAGTATTCCGGGTTTTAGAGATTCCCCATTTTAGTATTCCGGATTTTAGCATTCCCCATTCCCCATTCCCCGTTCCCCGATTCCTTTCCCCGATTCCCCATTCCTTGTTATAGTAATAGCCACTCTTTGAGCTCGTCTTTGAGTGTGAGCGTGAGTGGGCTTTTAGAATACAGGCGTATTAAAGTCCATAGTTAATAGGTAACTTTCCTAAGACATTGGCATTGCTATGGTTAGTTGGGCAAAAATACAATACGCGTGTGACGGTGAACGAACAGATTTTATGAATAAACGTTAACTAACATAGATAATGAGTTATATTGTTATTCTAATGAGTTTCCAAACCATCTATTCTATTAACTATATGGTAAGTCTTAGTTCTGTTGCCGCGGTTGTATAAAAGTCGTAACTACTTCTTAACCACTATTTTGTAGTTTAAATAGACTAGTATGTTCACTGTAAAATACGCGATCTTGATTGGTTAACTTTCGCACTAACTGCATGTTCTGGCTTTGACTATATATACAGTATATCGGATTATCGGTTTTATACTACCGGGCCCAGGAACATTAATTAAGAATCAGCTGAATTTTTGGATTTCTTCAACATCCGTCCGGCACTATACACAGGACATTCTAAAAAGGCTTACACCCACCTGTCTATGCTGGTTCTCGCTTCTACGGGGCAAATGGAAGTTTGGCTCCATTCACAGGCACATATATTATTTTCTTATATATAACATGGAGTTTCATGAAATTTTCCAATAATGCATGCATGCATGTACATTATTATATATATAATCATGCATGACCCTTATTGACCGTCATAACTCTGACCACAACTGAACAATAGCAAGCAAAGCGGCCTGTAGTATATCCCTCAATTGGCACTGCCGCTGATATCAACAACTCACAGGCTTCAATTTCCTCACATGCATATTCATATACCTCTTGATTTATTCGGCAGTTCTTGGTTTCAATGTCATGTATTTGCGATGAAAAGCATTCAAAACTTAAAATCTTTTTGGCGCTCCTTTCAAAATTACTTTGTTTGCTTTATTTTGTAGTTTACAAAGTTAGCAACTTTTTTAAATGTATCCGGCGGTTGAAGTTATCATTAATGCTGTAAAATTGACGCCATATTTATACTGACAGCAATATAAGCAAAACTTGCTGAACTTCAGACATCGTTTTCTCTTTGGCTTACCATCTAAATTGACTAAAATCTCTTCATTTTAGCATAACTTTACAGATAAAGATGCACTAAACATACTTTTAAAGTTTGTTTGCCGCTTGAGAAATTTAAAAATTTCAAATTTTGAAATTTTTGTTACGTCTAATTTTTAAATTTTTGTTACGTTTCTCAAGCGGCAAACAAACTTAAAAAGTATGTTTAGTGCTTTATCTGTAAAGTTATGCTCAAATGAAGAGATTTTAGTCAATTTAGATGGTAAGCCAAAGAGAAAACGATGTCTGAAGTTCAGCAAGTTTTGCTTATATTGCTATAGTCAAAACCAAGTAGAAAAGTATTAGCCTCCTCCGCAGGCATCTCCAACCTCGTTCCCAGGGTATTTGCTCTTGGGAAGCAAAGACCCTGGTGGACGCTGGTCACGTGACCCATAGAAAATTGATAGCCTCAGAGGGGGATGGAAAGGTCTCATATTACATGTTTCCACTTCCGCACTTCACACTTCGATTGCAAGGAGTGGCCGTGCTCCATACTGGAAAGTTCGTATGTTACGCCGGATATATCCGGCGTAGGATTTTACAGATTACGCCAAATTTGGCGTAATACTAAATCAAATTTTCGGTTGAAACTGTTGGCGTGGCGTAAATGGCGTAAAGCGTATATAACGTTATAGTGTTGGCGACTTGGCGTTCACGAGTGTGTCGCGGTGTGGCGTTATGTGGCGTTCTTAATTTCTGCCACAGTGGCACGATTGTTGTTCTAAATTTCTAATGTATTATAAAACGCCATGAAAACTTTGTATTTGAAATAATTTATGATAATAAATATTCAATTGACAAAATATTGTATAAATAATTTTGCCGGCAAATTTTACGCGCACAGCAAACTGTCAAGCAAAAATCTACGCCGACGCGACTCTGTGACCATATATTTTGCAAGGCTGCCAAGGCAATTACTAAATAAGCATGCAAAAAATTAACAAAGTGTTGAAAAAATTACTAAATTTCTGCTGTCAACAAAAGTGGTCTGAAAATCAATAGAACATCTCAATAAAACAAAATCAGTAATACACTTTCCATCACTGAAACTATGTTTTTTCCATGTTTTTCTTTCTCAGTTGTACTTTTGATTGCAATTGTGCAAAATGCAAATATGGTGTCGCGTTGTCGAGCCGGAAGAGATTATTTCGCTGGCCTCAAAGTGACAAAACGTATTATAAAGCAACGGTCTTACTAACACTAACCCTATTATTCCAAACACTAACCCTAACCTTAATCCTTACCCTAACCCTAACCTAACCCTACTCCAAATTTGTTTCTAAACCAATCTTGAAGAAAAAATTTTTGACGAAATGTCATTTTGAGGTCAGCGAAATAGTATTTACCTGTCGAGCCGGTGTCACATCGGATTTGGACTCCCCACGGATATGGACCCCCCGGTCCATATCAGCTAGCGGATTCGGACCCCTACGGTACATATCTGCTAGCTGATATGTAAGCAGAAAAAATTATAAATCATAAACTTTGATGGACTATGATTCTCTAATCTAAAAATCTAAGATTTTGATGATCTAAAAATCTTCGTACGGTTTTTAAAATAAATCAGATGAGATTTATGACGATTTAAAACACTTTCAGTACAATATTCAAAATACAATACGTTGCAATGATAAAATACGCGATGGGTCCAAATTCGCGAGGGGAGTCCAAATCCGCTAGCGAATAAAGACCCCCATAGGTCCATATTCGCTAGCAGACATGGACTCCCCGGTCCATATTTAGCCTGCATGGCAGGCCCTCAATGTTATGGGGGCCTGATTTGCAGCGGGCAGGATTGAGGGGCCTGTCACGCAGGCTAGTCATATTCGCTAGCGGATTTGGACAGGGAGGTCCATTTTGAGTGGGGTCCAAATCTGCTGGGACACCGGGGCAGGGAGATTATTAAAAAAAGGTTATCAACTTTAGGGTTAGGGGTTAGAGTTGGGACTTGGGGTTAGGGTTAGGGTTAGCGTTAGGATAATGTTTAGGATTAGTGCTTGCATGGAGTAGGGTTATTGTAATTGTAGACCCATTACAACCTAATACTTTATTGCATACAATGGCTTTAC